GGGATCAATAAAGTATATCTTCTAATATGTAACTCCAAATTAGTTTTTGTGGGCTTTGAAGAGAGCACAGATGGAAAGAGCGGCTTCAGTTCTCCCGTCGATAAATCCCACAGTCTGTCCAGAGAGAGCAATCGCCACCCCAAGTCACTTTTGTCACATTGTCTTATTGCATACTGTGTTATATAATACGGGGTTATGATAAAACTAAATCAACTGGCCCGCCATGAGACGAGATGTGACATCAATTTGATTGGTTGTTGCCTTGATTCGCGATGCTAAAAGCTCAGAAAAATTTACCTCAATGGCATCACATTGTCGCGTTCTGTGTGGAAGTGCTAATTACAAAAACAGTTTAAAAAATTTAAATAAAAACAGCAAAACGAAATTTCCCAGTGTGTGCGTTTCCTCCTTTCTCTGTAGCCATGCTAGAAGTTGGTCCATCACTTTGGTCCTCACTAATATATCTCCACAACTGCTTATTTGGATTCTATTATAATTTCATTTATTCCCTCTTCAGGATGAAGTACCAGTGAAGAACGGTGACGTCTAATCCATCAGTTTGTCATTTCAGACGTGAGGGATCAATACTCAAAGATTAATACGTATGTGAATATCCCATTTTCCCCACACAGGTATCTGTGAATCCCTGCTGCTTCGCTGAGGTCATCAAATGGGGAATGGTTTACACCTGCTCTGCCTGGTGAACCTATGACGGCCAACTGACTGTGAGACTCGTGCAATTCACACTCCCACATGTCCATGTTGTCACGTAGTGAAAGAACAAATTCATAACTGATAACATCACGACACAATAAGAGCTCACTGACAGACAAGACAGAGCAGCACAGAACAGCACTAGCACTGTGCACCAGCGAGACATTCAGACCATCATGTGGAGAAATATCCACAAATATATTACACTGCCATTTATTCTGTGAGAGGAAAAACCTTCAGCTCAGCCAGATATCTTTGGATCTTCTCACACACGGCACAACTCTTCAGTAAAATAAAATCAATATAGATTCAAGCAAATTAGACGAAAGCTGGTCCATAGAGCAACTAACTTCTTCTCACAGTACATCTCCTTTTATACTTGTTCACAATCCCCTCCTTTTGTGGCCTCAGCTGCAAGCCCCTACCACTATTACTTATTACCATTATCTCGCCATAACTCTATACAGCATTATTTCTCCCTATGGGCCCACCATGCCCACACTGTTCTTCTAAAAAGATCAAAGGGTGTCCATACGTCTCCATTTTTGGCATCACATAATGCCATACTCATACTCATTCTGGGCATACCACGTGGATCTCTCCTTGACACCATTATATCTGACAGTGTGACTGTTCATAGAATGATCTAAATAATTATTATTATTTTGATCACACATATTCCATCCAGTCCATACAGATAGGATTAATTTCCCTGCCTGCTGCTCAATTGAGTAATCAACAGTGTGACCCTAGAGCAGGGGTGTGTTGTATATTAAGTAGCGATGATGTGAAGATGTATTGAAGAGAAGTCCGCTGACACCGTATATAAAGATTTGTTACAAAAAGTTCAGCATCAATACAAGCACCGCGGGAGCTTGGAGAGCATCCAGCCAAATGAACAACTCCGTCTATTTTGCATCGGACACACGTTTATATAGGTCTGTTTACTCCAAAAGTTGAAAAGAAACATCTGGTTCCAAACCAGATATGTAAGGTAATAAGGGTAGATGGGGGTTTTCAAGTTAGAGGTCAGAGGCCATTGAGAGGCCCCTGACCAAACATTCCATAGTAAGAACGTCCTTGAACCTCATGAACTGCTAACACTGCATATGTTGACAAAATATCATTTGAACTTATAACAAAATGTAATTTAAATTTATAAACCTTCAACTACGACAGTGTCAAACTCATTTTGGTTCAGGGGTCAGAAATGCATACTACATACATTATTTACATCTGTGAAAATTCATACTTAGACACAGTAAGTATGCATTTTCACAGAGCACTGAAGCAGCATTTTTCATTAAGTAGGTTTACTCACCGTTTAGTTTGCTAAGCTTAGTCTCCTTTTTGACAGTCATTTTGACTAATGAGGAACAGAGCAGCGTAACGTGTGTGTGTGTGGTAGAGCGAGAGAGAGAGCGTTGTGCTATGTTCACAACTGTCACACACATCCCGCGGGCCGGAATGAACCCTCTGGCGGGCCGTTTCAAGTTTGACACCTCTGCCCTAGAGCCTCCCTGGAGGTGAGTAGGTCAACTACAAACTTCAAAATAAAAACATCATGCAGAAAAATATAATATAATTATATAATATCAGAAAAAGATGACAAATCCAAACAAACGAGTTCAGCTAAAACCTCCTTTCATCCTCTTCTACTTCTAGGCTGTCCTACTTTGTTTTCAAAGTGATCCTGCAGGATCCACTGTCCTTGAACCATGCGTTTGTATCTTTTTCCTGAGGATGCCATTTTTTCAAACCCCCTCCTCCCCCCTCACCGAAATGGAGTCTCACTGCAAACTAAATTGAGAAGTTAGCAGCCTGCAGGTGGCCCCAGTTACCAATTAACAAGTTGTCAGGATAGAAATGTTAGTCTGAAAACATAAACAAAGCGAACCAAAGGCAACCAAACGTTTTCACCTGGATAGCGCAGTTATAATTCATGACACGGAGTTAAAGCTGCAAACAGACGAGAAAAAAAAAGGAAATAAGCATGCACATGCAACACAGGAAACACACAGGAACAGATCGGGTTTGATTAGTTTGACTATATCTGACTCAATATCAGCTTCTTTTTCCACCTGACTCTCTCAATTATCTCAAAAACAAGGCTGTGGCGCCTTCACCCACCTGGCAGTCCAAGTAGTTGTCGCTCTCCATGGTCAACGAGTTTCTGCAAGCAAAACTAAAAACAGCAGTACGAGAACATCTTCATCATCTACAGCTGCAGAACGGAACGCTGCTGTGTAGCTGCCCACCGTGGAGCTTGAGTCCAACTGAACTCAACAAAAAGGGAGTTTGCTTCTTCCTCTCATGCTGCAGCTCAGCCGTCAATCCATCAGCTGTGTTGGCGGGTAACTGACTCCTCCCCTCGTAAATTAAAGGAAGAAGAGTGGCGGAGCTTTTCTTTTTCAGTCATCCACAGACTTTTGGCAGCTGCAAAAATACACCACAATACAAAACTCACGGATTTTCCTGCTATAGGAATTGCTCTGCTCCAGCTCTCACTTTATCTCCTTACACGGAAACAGACATAAACATAGCTGTCTTTTTACCTACACATTTCCTAATATGGAGTTCTCCTATACATAAAGTGTGAGGCACCGGATACCATCATGTGAATGTTGTTTATTACGTGGCGATGATGTAACCGGTGTCAGCGGATATCTCTTAAATACATCTTCACATCATCGCTACTGCAGAGCTGTGCTTGTAGAGATATGCTAGATAGATATATGTTTTAATGAGTGACTAGTGCGCAGATTAATTATGTTTCATAATCACTTTGTATGTATTAGCAAGCATAGGTCAAGTGTATGACATGATGGAAGTACGGAGGAAATGAAAATGGGAAGTTACTGCAGACAGAGACAGACAGCAGAACTAGGAAGACACGATGTAGTAAGATGAGACTGGAGGTGAGTGGGAAATGGCGGTTAGGGTGCAATATAGGAGGTGCATGCGAGATACTCTTTTTCAGAAAACAACACCCAGAAACTGCTCAACATCAGAGAAGACGAGGTCATGTGGAGTCAGATAAGAACTGGAGTCAGGACGTGGACCAATCCTGTGAAAGATAACACACACTTTGATAGATGCAACGATGTCTAGTATAAGTATACTGGGTCAGGGACAGATAGTCAGTCAGACTTCGTGAACTGACACAACTCTGCTGTCAGGGAATGGAAATCCAGACCCAGAGCTCTGTAAAGCTTTACTCATTTACTGCTAAATAAACCATTTAATCTGAGACCTGTTAACAGCAAAACTACAACACCAAAACCCACATATAATATTGACCAAACACACAAACAATCTATTAAATTCTATAAATAAAATGTCCACAAATATCCTGCAAATTAGAGAAAATTCAATCCTTCACAAAACTCAAAAGATCACACACTGCCACAAGGGAGCAACTGTTGAAGAAAAATCATTCCAG